CCTACCCACTGCAGGATGATTTCATCTTAACCAATTATGCTTGCAATAGCACTATTTCCAAATAAGGTCACATTTTGAGGTAGTGGGGGTTAGGGCTTCAACAAATGAATTTGGGGAGGGGGGGGGACACAATTCAACCCATAACACATGTATACCACGATTGTCATTTAGAAAATATAAGTATTTAAAAGAGCCTTTTCATAATAGTAACAGAAAACACAAACTACACCAGCATAACCTTGATAAGTATGGCTTACCTTGTTTGAAAACAACAAAAGCTGAAACAAGACTTGTAAGATTAGACAGAAATGCTCTGTTTTGGGACAGATCACTGAAGAGTGGAAAGTGACCATTCAGGGTTCCCTTTTAACAGACTGACTTCATGCAGGAGATATTTTGCAATTGCAATACGGTTCCCAACAAAGTACTCAGGAGAATTTGACAAGACAGCTCTATAGTTTATCTGGAAAATGACTGATCCTAACTGGTTGTTTACCCCCCAGGCCCTGTGCAGATGCAGAACAGGATCTGCTCCCTGCCCTCTGGGAGGGAACAACGGCAAAAAACAAAAACAACCCCTGCCAAACCTGTCCTGCTGAGAGTGGCCCATATTATAACCTAAGTCTGTGGGAACTAAATCCGTGGGGACACTGAACCAGACCAGATGCCAGGGATGATGTATGGACACTCAACAGGTGAAAAAAGTGAATATCAAATGCATGTTCTCTGGATTCAGGTGGACCTAGACTTGAATTCAGAAATGGTGGTGGGGCCATGGGGGACTCACATGTCTGTAAACTGAGGACCTAAGTATCGCCTCCTTGGGGATGGAAAGGTTGAAGGGGTTCACAGAATCATGTGCCTGGGGAGATAGACACTGAGAAAGCACAATCATCCTTCCCCCATTCTGTCCCTGCCCCCACCTCATCCCACCTGGGATTCACCTTTGACCTCTAGGGGACAGATTCCAACACAAGAGATACAAAAAATTAAGTTGTCCACCCCCACCTCTAGTGGCTTGGTCACTGCATGGTGTCATATTCATACAAGTACCATCTAGTAACTAGTAAGCCTTTGCTACATAACAGACCTCATATTGCAAACAAAACAAACCACCCCCAAAACCCAATGGCTTAAAACAAGAGCCATTTTATTTGCTCATAATTCTCTTGAGTCAGCAGCTTGGGCTGGGCTCAGCTGGGTGGTTCTGCAATCTTGCCTGGGTCTGCAGGCATCTTAGGGCCACCTGGGGCTGTGTGGTCTAAGGTGGCTGCCAGCCCATCAAGCTTCTTCCCATGGTTCTAAGATGGCAAGAGAGGCTGCAAGGGCTTGGAGGCCCAGGCTCACAAGTCATTTCTGCTTCCTTCTGTTGGTCAGAGACAGGCATGAGGGTGAGTCCAGATTCATGGGCTGGGGAAACAGGCTCCATCTCCTGATGGAACAACTGCAGAAAATTTGTGGTCATTTTTACTCTACTATGAGTAAGCCAAAGTGACTTCACTCTTGCTTACATTTCTCAACATTAGTGAGAGGAGACCCAGCTCTTGCATATAGTAGGTTTCCTAAGCTCCACTCGGCATCTGTAGAGTTGTCACTGTCAGAGTCCATCCTCCCAGTGACCCTCTACTGGCCCTCAGGTACAGCATGCATGACCTTGTTCTCATCATCCAAGATCCATGCACAGCCCGCTCTTCTCACCCCCAGTCCTGTTCTCCTCGTCCTCACCTCCGGAGTCACCCTTGTGTATTTAGTTTATGTAAATATTATCATGGCTACATCTCATTCAACTTCCTATTTTTTACTGTCAACATTATTTTCAGGTCCCTTCATGTTGATTTTAGTTGGTCCCAGCTCATTTTAAGTACTTTACCAGATTCCTTTAGAAACTGTTTTCATATATCACATTTCACTCTCTTACATTGGTGGAGCACTCAGGCTGTTTCCAGTGCTTTGCAAACATGTAAGAAACTTCCTCTGAGGCGGATATTCCACAGTGGAATTATGGGTCATGGGGGTCCACCGTACCATGTCACTCTTCGCACCCAATCATTCCCCCAAATGGCCCACAGGTGGTGCCGTTGTCTCACATCATTGCTTATATTTGATGCTAACCAACATCTTGGCTGCTATAGTGGATGGAAAACGCAGAGTGTCTGCCTGCTCTTGTTGGGCATTAAAGGTCTCCCCTTGGGCATTGCCCCATGAGACCCTTTGTTCTTTGATGTTTAGTCTTTCTCGTGGTGGCCCCAGGATTTCCCATATATTCTAGTTATTGATCATTGAATTACAAAGATTGCAAAGATCTTTTCCTATTCTGTCACCCATTTATAACATTTGCCAATGGTATCTTTTTGTTCTAAGTAGATTGTTTTTAAGTGAGGCACAATTACATAATTAGTAAAATGCACAAATCTTAACTGTCCTGTCTGATGAGTTTTGACCAATGTCTACACTCAACCTCCAATCAGGATAGGGAGCATTGCCATCACCAGGTGTCTTTTGATAAGCAGAAATCCCTAAATTTGATATAATTAATCCATTAACTTTCTCTTCACAGATTGTGCTTGCTGTGTCTTAAGAAATCTTTCCCCAGGGCCAGCCGAGTGGCTCAGTTGGTTAAGACCTTACTCAAGAGTGTGAGCTCTGAGCAACAGGGTCACCGGTTCGATTCCCACATGGGCCAGTGAGCTGTGCTCAAGCTGAGCTGCCAACAGGTGGCAGGATGGCTCAGCTGATGAGAGCACGTGCTCCTAACAACAAGGTTGCCTGTTCAAGATGGTGGACTACGTCCGCCCGCCCACAACTAAAGACTGAACTTGGCACTTGAGTTGAGCTGCCGCCTGAGCAGCTCAGGTGATAGAACACACGCTCTTAACAACAAGGCTGCCGGTTCAACTCCCGCATGGGATGGTGGCTACGCCCACCCACAACTAATTGAACATAGTACCTTGAGCTGAGCTGAGCGGCGCGATGGGACTTGGAGCTGAGCTAGTTGCGCCCTCCACAACTAAGATTGAAGGACAACAACTTGTCTGTTCCCCTCCCCCAATTCCCCAACACTGCTTCCCTCTGCCAATTCCCCAATAAAAATCTAAAAAAAAAAAAAGAAAGAAAGAAATCTTTCCCCGAATCAAAACCTCAAGTCTAATAGCTTCTCCATTTAAGTCTCTGATCCTTTCAGGGCTACTTTTTATACAGAATGGGATGTAGAGGTCTACTTTTTTATTCCTCTTTTTATCATGAGTTAGTTTCCCCAGCACCACTTGTCAATGGTGATGCCTCTCCAACATTCTACTTTGCCCCATACCTTCATCTTGGTTCCATTCCTATTTGCTGGTGCCTGCTTCAGGAACAAGTATGTGCCCTAATTGGCCCATGAGAGATGAGGGAAAAATCTATGGGAAGTTTCCCCCTCAAAGAGATGCACAAGATAGAGCAGATTGACTTGCTTTTTTAGGTCCCTCATGGTTACCAGGTGGATGCAGCAGTTCCAGGCATTGTATGCAGACAACATCAGTAGGCAACAAAGAGAATATCCCTTCCTGTGTCTCTTTTTATAATGAGGCAAACCTCCCAGAAATTCCCAGTTGATTTCCCCTTGAGCTTCACAGGCAGAATCCTACAACAGGGAAGCAACACAACCACAGTTGGTTTGGACCAGTCCTGCTTTATTCCTGGCGCTAGCCCAGAATAGCAAGACCCCACGAAAGGAGTAAACTAAAGGGCTCCTATTGGTAAGAAGGAAAGGGAGGTGATAACTTTAGTGTAGGTAACCAATAGTATCTGCATACTGTTCAAACTTTCCTGTTTCTTTTTCTGGCTTGGTTGCAGGCCCTCCAGCACAAAACCTTAAAAGGGAATGCAGCTAACACTTTCTCCTTGCTATATTGTTTGCCCCCACATTTTTACTAAATAGTCTTCATCAGGTTAAAGGGTCTCTTTTTATTCCTTTGGAAAGCCCTGTTTTCTGCATCTATTGAAAGGGACTCCTGAAATGGTGGTGTTCTTCCTCCTCTGTCCATGTGGTGAATAACATGGATTGTCTGATCTTGACCAATCCCTAAAAAAAATTCTGCTTGGTTTCCATTAATGTTTTTTATGCACCCCTTTGGATGTGGTTAGCTAATAATAATTTATTTAGGGTTTTTGCATTCACGCTCATAATTGAAATTGGCTAAATAAAGGCAGATTTTAAAAGGACAAGTTTACCTACAGTATCACCAAACAATGAAATAGTTGTCTTTCTCCTGTTTTCTTTAAAGAGCTTACCTGTATACATTATAATCTTAGTTATTTTAGCATAAATGCTAAATCATATTCACTTTTTTCACTGACATCATCATATCTTTATGTATGTCACATAATATTCAAATAAATCATTTTAATTACAATTGTTTCCTTTTTATGATAACTGTAAGCAATTCAAAGAACTATTTAATGCATAGTGGTTTAGAAAAATTTTTTCATCCTGGTATAAATTTCCAAGAGTGGGATAATTGGGTAAGAAGATATGAACATATTTATGGATCCTGGTATATACATTTCCCAGCCTTTTCCACAAGAGATTGATCAGTTTGCAAGTGCCATCTGTAATGTAGGGGAGCCAATCTTGCCTCATTATTTTTTATTTTTTATTGTGAAATACACATTTTTAAAAAATTAGTTTCAGCTGTACAACACAGTGCAATAGTTATACTTTTTACCCCTCGAAGTGACAACCCCCCTCCTCCAATCCGCCGTTGCCTCAAATTTTCTGCGTTTAAGTATTTAGTACTTTATAGATCCGATTGTAGCGCTTTCATAACTTTTTAAAATGATGGGTGATAAATAATATTTAAATGAATGAATAAATGAGCGAATGACAGACAATAAAGATGTGATCCCGCCTGACTCCAGTCGGCCCCGCTGGAGGCCTGCGCCCGGACGCCCACTGAAGCCCATTGTGACGAGGGCTGCGGGCTGATCACCCAGGCGGCCAGCCGCGGTTGGGCAGAGCCCGGGGAGCCATGGCGGAGACGCAGGAGCTGCTACTGCAGCTGCAGAAGGACAACCGCGACGGGCGCCTTCGGAAGCAGGAGCTGGAAGAGCTGGTGCGAGGGCTCGAGGCCGAGAGCGAGAGCCTCACTGGCCGCCTGCAGGAACTGCGCGAACGCGAGCGCAGGTGAGCGGGAAGCGCGTCTCCAGCCGGTGGGGCAGACGCGCGACGGTTTGTACTGTGAGCGGCCGCGCCCGGGGCTTCGCAGTGTGTCAGGTTGACCAGTCGGTTACTTTCCCCTCCCGGGCCCGAACCTCTGCTCTAAGCCATCGGGACGGGGGCGATCTACTTAGGTGGCCCCCGAAGGAGAGGGTGGCGACTGGAGCGCGGAGACCCGATGTGGGCTTCCTCGGCCCCACCCACGGCTGTGTTTTCCCCTGGGCCGAAGGAGCCTGAACGTCAGCCGCCTTCCATCGTGGCACCGCTTAAGTTTCCCCTCCACAGCCTGCAGCGGAGGCGAAGCCAGGCGGCGCGGGCCCTGCGAGGGGAGGCGCAGGAGGCGACTCTGGAGCGCGCGGAGCGGGCGCGCGGACTGCTGGAGCTGGCTGAGCGGCGCAAGCAGGACTTGGTGAAGGCGCGGCCCTGGGGGGCGGTGACTGCAGGGGCGGCGCCTCAGAGGGCACGGCCCTAAATGGGGCGGTTCCCATGGGGCGGGGCCCTGAATGGCTCATTGCCAGTGGAGAGGGCAGGGCCTTGATGGGGCGGTGCCTGCGCGGGCGGGGCCCCGAAGGAGGCGGGGCCTGTGGGGAGGTCCTGGTCCTGGATGGGGCTGTGCCTGCGGCGGGGTGCAGTGCCTTTGATGGGGCGGGTGCCTTTGATGGGGTATGCGGGTGCGGGGCGGCAGCGAGAGCAGTACCTCTGAGAGGCCCGGACCGTCCCCTGGATCCTTTTGGCAGGAACGACAAAACCGACAGCTGCAGGAGCAGTGGGAAGAGCTGTCAAGTCAGGTGCATTCAGCAGATGACCTGTTTCTTGCTTTCCCTAAGAAGTCCCTCTCTAGTACTCGCCCCGGTTCCGCCCGTCCCTTCCTCCCATAGAAGCCCCTCAATCCCCTCCCTCACAAATCTCCACCCCCAGCTCTTCTACTATGGAGGAGAACAACTGAGTCAGCAGCGGGCGGAGCAGCAACTCGGGACCCAACTGGTGGCATTGCAGGTGCTTGGGCGGGGCCATGACGACCCGAGTTCGGGGAGGTTCCTTGCGGAACCCCGGCGGGGTCCTGAGAGCAGGGGGCGAGCAGAGCGGAGACAAGGTCCGGGCGCTGGCGACCTCGGGGTGTGTCGTCGGGCTAGATCCTGAGGGCGGAAGGCAAGGAGAGCCGGGCGTAGGTGGTGTCCTGACACTCTATGAGCGGTGGGGTGGGGTCCTGAGGGCCAGCTGAGGCGCGGCGGGATGTAGGACTTGCCGGACTCCTGACATTCTTTGGATCCTCTGGAAGAAACAACTGGAGTTGCTGGAGGCCAAGCACGCCATGCAGGCAGAGGGGCTGCGGCAGGTGCATGCGGGGCCGGGGTCTGAGGGGGAGGGTCGGCTTCGGATGAGGGTGAAGGCTTCGCAGGTGCTGGATGGTGGAGAGGGGTGTGTCTCTCTGAGTTTAATTGAGGCTCCCCGCACTCCAGGGCGCACAGCGGACGGAGGAAGCCTGGGCCAGCTTCCAGGAGCAGAGCGGAGTATTGCAGGTGCCTCCACCCTCCGCCCCGAGAGCTGCTTACCTCCGACTCAGTTGCGACCTCCACCCCACTTCCCCCAGAGCAGCGACAGCCCGCCCCCAGACCCACCCCGCCACTCCCCAGCCGAGGCCTACCCCAATCTTGAGACCTCACTCCCACCCCTTCCAGGAGCTGCAGGGGAAGGTGATGGAGGCGGCGGCTGCGCTGGACGCTTCGCGGGGCGGCCCTGAACTGTAAAGGATTTAGGACTGTTGGGTATGGCGGGAGACTGTCGCTGGGGGCAGATCGCCCATCTCGACGCTTGTCCCCGCAGCTCCAACTCTCAGCCTCGCCGGGTGCAGGACTGCGCGGGCTCCCTCATGGAGGAGGTGGCCAAGGCCGACAGTGTGAGTGTACGCCCGAGTGGGGTGGGGCTGGAGTCGGGATACGCCTCCACGGGGATACCACACACCCACGGGGGCCCGCCTCCCTACGAGGACCCGCTCCCCACGGAGACCCCAACTCCCCGGGGACTGGTCCCTGAGACTCCCGCCGCTCCTTGAGAGACCGTGCCCCGCTCCTTCCGCGAAGCTGGATACCGCTCCTCTCTCTGCAGAAGAGGCTGTTCGGTGGCGCGGGCGCGGCGGGCCTCAGGTGAGCCAGGGGGCGGGCGCGGGGCTCCGGTCCGTCCTCCTGCACGTGCTCTGCGGACCACGGCTCTTTTTTCTGTCTGTGCGTCCGTCGGTCCAAAGGTTTTGGGCGCTGAGCGCTCTGCAGACGCTACTGCTGCTCCCACTCGGCTTCCTGGCGCTGCCGTTGCTCTACCTGGTGCTGGTCAATCCCGACGCCTTCCGCCGCGGGCTCCCGCGCCTCAGCTCGGACACGGTCTTTCGCCGCCTGCGCTACACGCTGTCCCCGCTGCTCGAGCTGCGCGCGCGCAGGCTACTGCCTGCCTAGGACTCATCACGTCGGCCGTGGCCGCCTGCACCTCTGTCTCCCGTGTGGTTTTTTTATCGCCTGTGGGAGCCCGAAGGGGGGACGCCCGAGGGATGGGTCGTGTGTTCCTTGGGGCTCAGCGACCCGCCCTGGCAGCGCGGCCTTAGCGGGCGTGGGGCCTTCTAGGCGGACATTGCATCTGGAGAGGCTGCCCGGGGAGCCCCGCAGCGGAGCGGGCGACCCGGGCTAAGACCTCGGGCTTGAGTTGAGCGCGCCTTCGCCCCGCGCCCAAGGCTGGGCGGCTCGCACCAGGGCGCTACTGGTGGCCCTGCGGGGAGTCCCCTTTCCTATAGCCCCTGCTGCTGCACAGGAGCCAACTCAGAAGTTGGTCAGCATCTTATTACCAAACTTGCCTTTTTTTTCCCTGCTAGTGAGCCTGGGGCGGTGGTGCCCGGTCCGGTCTCTGTGTCCTTTGGCCCGGCTGGTTATTCAGATCTCCGCAGCATCCTTTCGTTGGTTCTCTCCGTGGCAGGACCGCGGGAGGTCCCCACTGTGGTCCGCTTCGCTGTCCGTGCTTGTGATCCGTGCTCACGACTGCGGTCTTCGTAGGGAATTGTCTTTTTATGTGGTGGTCTGCTTAGTGGAAATGAACCTTGTTTCATTTTGTCCGATACAAATACTGCTGTATTTTTATTATTTTTTTTTGTGGTAAATTATTCTATGTATCTCCTTGTGCACACATACAAGGGTTTTGCTATGGTCTTTAAACAATCGTTTTACTGATTTGTATTCTTTAGTCTTTTTTTGGGTTAAATTTGTTTATGGAATCCTGTGTATTAAATTTTATCAAATTTAAGAATTGTGCAGTGTGTCCTAAAACATATACATTCTTGCCTGGAAGTCATAAAGATATTCTCATACTCTAAATTTAAGTGGTGTAAGTATTTTTGTTTATCCATTCATTATAACATTTTGTTGGTAAACACTTTATCGAGTCAGCCACTTTATCGATTCAGCCACATTTGGATTGTTTCCATCTTTTGGCTTCTGTTAACACAGGTGTACAGACAGACATCTGTTTGAGTTCCTTTTTTTTTTTTTCACTTCTTTTGGGTATATACCCAGAAGTGGACTTGCTGGGTCATTGGTAATTCTGTGTTAAATTGTTTTAGGAACTGCTGTACCATGCTCCACACCAGTGGCACTATTTTACATTTTCACAAGGATTCCAAATACTCCATATCCTCACCAACACTGTTTTCTGTTGTTTTGATAATAGTCATCCTAATGGGTATGATTTTTTTGCTTTCAATTTTAGGTATTGCACTCTCCAATTTAATTTTTATAATTTATAATTACAAAGTCAAATCCCCAAAATGCATCTTAGGGAAGTCCAGCTTGTATCCCTGTGCCCTCCACCTGTTGCCCCACTCCCTTAGAAGAAACATTTGATTTTTTTTTTAATTGGGGAACAATGTGTTTTTCCAGGACCCATCGCTCCAAGTCAAGTAGTTGTTTCGGTCTAGTTGTGGAGGGCACAACTCCATGGCCCATGTGGGGATCGAACTGTCAACCTTGGTGTTATGAGCCTGCACTCTAACCACCTGAGCTAACCCGCCGCCCCCAAACATTTGATTTTTTAAATGGACTCTCCTTTTTTCCCTTAAATAAATGAACTATAATACAGCCACATCTCCCCTTTCTTACATGAACACATTGTATACCACGTGGACTCTCTGCCCAACCTTCAGCACCTCGCTGGGATGGAGCAGTGTGGTGGGTATGGGTGTGTCATTTACTCATCCTTAGTGACGTGAGAGGATTCCCATGCTTTGTTGTTACAAACAGTACCTCAATGAGGAGCCTTCTGCAAACATCTTTTTGTATTTTGCCAGAGAAGATTACTGAAAATGCGATCGTGGGCCAGAAGGTTACCATGTACATGATATTGCTAGTTTCTGCCCAGGGCCCACAATCACTGGGTCTCAGGGCCCTTTCTGCCCAGCCTTGCCCCGTGATGCATATTGTCACTGGGAGTTTTGTTGGTCTGATGGGTGAGAAATGGCACTTCACCGCAGTTTTAATTTGCGTTTCTCTTACAATCAAGGTTGAGAATACTTTTATATTTAAAAGCCGATTGCATTTTTTTCTGTAAACATCATTTGTTCATCTTAAAAATATAGGATCATAGGATTTTCTTCTCCCTCAACTTTTTTTCAAGCTCTCTTATTTTAATTTTGAGATCTGCTGTAAATGTTTTCCCAACTTGTCTTTTCACTTTGTCATGGTGTTCTTTTGCTATCTGCTATCCATACATTGTTTGGCAACTACTTTCCTTTCTTTTTTAAAGATTTTTATTGGGGAATTAGGGGAGGGGAACAGCGTTGGGGAATCAGAGAGGGGGACAGACAAGTTGCTGTCCTTTTGTTCTTCAGTCTAGTTGTGGAGGACGTCGCTTCACTGGCCCATGTTGGTATTATCATTGATCTCTTCCCGGGTGAGGCAGATCAGTTGCCGGTCACTGGATGGCCGCTCATGGTGGCTCTTGGCAGCTCACCCCGGCTGCCGGCCGCCTCATGGCAGCCCAGCTCCAGGTCGAGCTGTTGTTCACCATCTTAGCTGTAGAGAGCACAGTGTCACTGGCCCTCATGTGGGATCCGAACCGGGGCCCTGCTGCTCAGAGCTGGCACCAACACGTCACTTGGCTGGCCCAACTACTTCCCTTTCTTGATTCTGGATTTTGGTACGTAAATCTTCTCCACTTCTAGGTTATCAGGGAAACTCACCCATGCCTTCTTCCAACATGGCATGGTTTCTTAGTTCACGTCAACCTCCAGTCTGTTGGGATTCACTAGGGTTTATGATGTGAGGGTCTTTTGCATTTCCATATGAATTTTATTAGACTCAGTTTGTCTAATTTCCATAATGGTCTGGGATTTTTATTGTGATTACACTGAATTTAGAGACCAATTTGCAGAGAATTACATCTTCTAATCCTCCAACATGATGTTGCTCTCCATTTTTTATTTCCCTCAGCAATGTTTTGAGTTTTTGGTGTAGAGATCTTGCACATTTTTACATTTATCCCTAGGTATTTGATGTTTTTGGATGCTACTACAAATGGTAAAGATTTTTAAAATTTCATTTTTCCAGCCGTTCATTGCTAGCATATAGAAATACTTTTGTATACTGACCTTGTATACTGCAATATAATTGAACTCCCTTATTTGTTATTTGCACTTTTCTGTACATTCTTCAGGATTCTACAGACACTTTTGTCTGTGAAGCGGGACAGTTTCTCTTCTCCCTAGTGCTGGCCTTATTGCTGGCACCCCTGTACAATGCTGATTAGAAGTGGTGGTAACAAGCACTCCTGTCTTACTCCTGATCTTAAGGGGAACGTCTTTAGTATTTCATCAATAAGATATTAGCTGTGAGTTTTCTTAGATGACCTTTATCAGATTGAAGAAGTTTCCTATTTCTAGTTTGCTGTTTTTATTATGGATTGGCGTTGCATTTCCTGTACCTATTGAAATGATCATATGGTGTTCCTTTTGTAGTCTGTTAATGTGAATTACACTGATTGCTTCTTGAATGTTAAGCCAACCTTGGACTACTGAGATAAGGCATGTTCTTGGTCATGATGGCCCTTTTTATACACTGTGTTCAATTTGCTAATATTTTATTAAATATTTTTTTGTATCTATGTCCTGAGAGGAAATTGTTCTATAATTTTACTTTTTGGAAAGTCCTCATCTTGTTTTAATGTCAGGGCTATGCTGCCCTCCTTAAAAATGAATCAGAAAGTGTCCTCTCCTCTATTTTCTGAAAAAGAGTAACATTGGCATTATTTCTTCCTTAGATGTTCAGATCCATGTTGTTGGCTTTATGTTGAAAAAAATTACACCTTAATAATTTTTTTCTTTAACACAGAAAAGTGTATGAACTATACTGCAAATATCTTCCCAGGTCTGTGGCATGCCTTTCACATAGTCCAAATTAATTTTTTCCCTTTATGATTATTACTTTCTTGGTTCTGTTTAAGAAATCTGTGTCCTGAGTTCAGCAAGACATTCTCTTCTGTATTTTTTTTCTAAAAGTCTTTAAAGTTTACCTTTAACACACAACTCTAGTCCACCTAGAAGTGATTTTTATGTCAGATATGAGGTAGGTGGTCAAGATTAATTTTTTTCTATACTGATATCCAGTTGATGCAATACCATTATTGAAAAGCCCGTCTCTCCCCTACTGCCCTGCATATCTCTATGTTTATGGGTTAGGATCCTGGATTTCATCTCTTCCATTGTCTGTCTTTCCTGGCACCGGTAAGCCACATTGTCTTAACTACTGTAGCTTCAGGATAAGTCTTGATATCTAGGTTTGGTCTTCAAGATGAAAAGGGCTATATTTTGACGTCCACAGTCAATATAAATTTTAGACTTGCCAATTTCTGCTGCACAACTTTCTGGAATTTTGATGGGCTTTTACCATGAAACTACAGATCAATTTGAGAACAAACATCTGTATAATGTTGAGTCTTCCAATCCATGAATATGTTACTCTATTTTTTAGATATTTCAACATTTGTAGTTTTCAATATTTCTTGAGAATCATTAGATTTATTCCTTGGTATTTGACATTTTGCTATCCAGTTGTAAATGGTATTGTTTAATTTCAATTTCTTTTTTGTTGTAAAACACACACACACACAAATGACTTTTATATACTATGTTTCCCCATGTATAAGACGCTCCCATGTATAAGACCCACCTTAATTTCGGGGCCCGAAATTTGAAAAAAATGTATTACATAAAGTAATTGAACTCAAGTTTTATTCATCATAAAATTCATACAACTCATCACTTGCGGGAAATGCAAGTAAGAAAATCTACAACACTGTATAAGGCACACCCAGTTTTTAGATCCCAAATTTTCCGAAAAAGGGTGCGTCTTATACATGGGGAAATATGGTATTGACCTGTATCCTGTAACCTTGATTACATATCAAAGATTATTTGGAATTTTTATGTATACAAATGCCATTGCTAAGTTTTATTTCTCTTTTCTAGATTCTTAAACCATTTCTTTTCATGGTCTGACTGGACTGGCTAGGGCCTTCAGTATTGAATGCTGAAGAGAAGTAAAGCAGGTCCATGTATATACCACATTCTTCTTTATCTAGGAGGCAAAGCTTTCAATATTTCACCTTTAAGCATGATGGGTTTTGCAGATACTCACATCAAGGCAGTTCCTGGACTTTTGGGCACGGTAATTACACTGTTGTCTTTCATTGGTTGGTTTTCTCTTCACTTACATCTTATCTGCTGTTTAGCTGATCTTTTGCATTTTTAATTTCAGTGACTTATTTCTAGGTGTTCTATATATATATATATATTTTAGTTCCGGGTCTTCCTATCTGCTTAAAATAATTAAGAGGGTCATAGTGGGTGGGAGTAGATGGCTGCTGCTGGAGGTAAGTGGCACAAAGATTTTGAAGTCCCAGAGCAGAGCAGTTGAACATGAACGAGAGGAAACAGGAAAAGACTGAAGCAGAAGCAGGACACTGAGTGATGCCTGCACTGAGGAGAATCGTGGACAGCACAGCCAAGCGGCCTGCACTGGAGCCCTCAGCAGAGAGTTCGGGAGCGAGTGAGAGCAGTTAGGGAAATCTGCCTGTGGTGTCCTCTTCCTGAAGCTCATAATCATGAGCCCTGACCCCTTCGGCATACACACTGCCTAACTTCCCCCTACAGGGTGGCCAGGCCTAGCTGGGAGGGTCCCTGGAAGGCCTGTGAGTGCAGGCTCTGCAGCTGGCCCACCCTTAGCACGCCTCTTGTCTCAGGACTCTGGAAACACTGCCCTACTCTTTTTCCAGCACATCCAGGAATCAGCCCTCAGCTGAATGTGTGCTTGAGCCTCCACAATAAACCTGATATTCAAGTTCAACACAGCACTTTTGTTGGTTATTTTCTTTATGTTGGTTAAATCTTACGTTGAATATAATGTTTTTTATACATGAGAAAATACTTCATGTACCTATGAAATAATACAGGTAGGGAATGTGTTCAGTGCAAAGTATTCACACCCATGCAGAGACAGTACCATCAGATGATTGTCGTTTCAGTCTTACATGCCACATGTGGGCCACACTTAAGGTGGCCAGGCTCTGCAGGGGTGCGCTGCTTTTGTCCTATAAAAATAACTCCATTCGATGAAATGCCGCTAACAGTTCACCCCCTTTGACCTCGCACAGCGGAGGGACAGGGAAGTGCTCGCATGGTTCTATGATTGCGGACAGCTTGGGTGAGGCGCCCACGACAGCTGGTGGTCTGACGTCATCCTCAGTAGGGGATGTCGTTCTGATAGTACTGGATCATGTCGTAGGTCCGGCTCCTGGAAGGCGGAGAGCGAACGGAGGCTGTAAGGAGCCTATGCCAGTCTGGGGCCTCTCGCCTCTCCAAGCCCTGCACGTCTGCTTCACCCTGACAGCTGCACTTGGGAGTACCCACTACTCTCTTCCCTGGAGGTGCGAATGCAAAATCAAAGACCCGCCGGCCTTTCCACTAGCCCCCACTCTGCCTGGGACATTCCTTCCCCCACTAGTGGCCATGGCCATGTGATCCCCATTCTGCCCCTATCTCCTGCCTGGCCTTCTCTTAGGCCACCTCACACTCAATGGGCCCGAAATGTGTGCTTAAGTGAAAGGCCCTTCCTCAGCCAAAAGCCTGCCCTTGGTCTCGGGGCCCAGGCAATGGACCCAGGAGTCCGTCTGTAGCAGCTGCCTGTACCAGGTACCACTCCAGCCCCTTGGCCTGGAGTGTGGCATCCAAACGAGTGAGGCCCTGCTCAGCTACCTGTCTTAATTCACCAAAAAAACAAACATCAGAGGAAACCTTCCTCGTACTGCCTTCCAAACCCCTTGCTGACTCACAGATGTCATGGTTCCCACACCCAACCCAAGCTACCTCCTGTTTCTCTGCTCCCTTGTCAGCAAAACCACTGGCGCTGCCGTGTTGTCACAGCCCAGGCCGCACCTACCCAGCTTTTTTCTGCTCTTGCTAGGGCCCTACCTGGGACTGCTTCTCGGTCTTCCTCTCATACTCCCACAGTCTCTACACCTCTCGTGGGCCTTGGCCAGCCTCACGTATGTAGGTGGCTCCCCTCACCCATCTGCTGGAATCACATCCCCCCAGTTGTTTGGCCCAGAAACCTTGATACCATCTCTGACTCACACTACCCGGGAGCCCGTGAGAGAAGCCTGGGGCTCTGCCTTCAGAATCCAAACCCACCTCTTCTCGCGGCTCCACTGTCCATCACAGCAACGGCTAACTGGCCCATCCCCACCCCGCCCCTTCCTGCCACTGCTCCTCTCCCAGCCCTACTGGGCCGTGCACGCCTCCCTTGGGCCTTTTGCTCCTGGCTCCCTTGGCCTCACAGGCCGGCCTTCAGGCCTCTTGCAGGTGTTTCCCCAGCACGTTCTAAAACAGCACCCTGTCTCCCTGAGAAAGTTACCTTCAGGGCATGCAGGACTGAGTCTCCTAGGACATGAGCTTCCTTGTTGCCCAGCCCAGGTATGGCTCCACACAGATGCCCAGAGAGCACCAGGGTGTGGTGGGTGATGCAGGAGGGAATGACTCACCTGTTGCTGAGGAAGCAGCTCTGAATGACCTTCATGATGAAATTCGCAGCCTCTCGCTCGGTCATATTGGGGTTGAACCTGTGCCTGGGGGAGAGGCTGCGTCAGCGCTGCTGTTGCCAGAGTTGTTCCGTCCAGGCCGCCCTCCCTGAGGGATGTATCTTGCCCTTGCCCATAGACTGAACTTTGCATTTGTGGGGATTTGTTCAGCTGAGGGTCAGGCCCTGGGAATGTTCCCTCTAGGGATAATGATGTGAGGGCCAGACCTGGCCTTGTGGGGACACTGTTCCCAGCTGGCTTAGAGGGCTCTGTTCCCTTCCCCAGCACCTCCTGGGCTCAGTGGCCCCATGGGTGGGGAAGGACTAGCATGTGGGCTAAGCCGCTGTGGCCCCGATGCTCAGGGATGGCCCTGCAACCTTAAGAAAGAAAGGGGTTTCTCAGTTATGTCCTCAGCTGATGCTGGCAGAAGCAGTCTGGTGGCAACGTCTCACCCTGCAACACTGCTCTGGGGTTCCAAGCAGAGTCCTCAGCCTTGATAAGGATCACAGTTACCCCCCCTCAACAGGCTCCCATCTTGGTGGACAACTGCCCCCCAAATGGCTTGTACGTCTGCCCAGGACCTACTTCAAGAGCTTGATTGTCTGGCCACGGAAGCAGGGCAGGCCTGTGTCCAACATGAGGGTGACCAGAGAGACGACCGCATCCATGTAGGGCCTGGGGAAAGGCAGGGAGGGAGGTGGACAGATGTTGGCGCGCTGGGTGGTCCTGTCCACAGCCCTGCAGCCTGACTGCTGCTTGACAGTTGCTCATGGCCTGTGCTCACATGCTGGGTACCCCCATATCTCTGCTGCCTTTTGTGTCCTATCAGGGCAGACCCTGCAGCACAGGCTGGGGCTGCTCATACACCTCTGAGCAGACTGAGCTGGCCCCCCTTGGTCCTCCGACCTGAGGCCTCCGCCTTGGTTTCTGTGCCCAGCTGAGGAAGTGTGGACTAACGCACAAAGATGCCCTGACCCTCCTCTTGTTGTGGGGTGGGTGGGCACTGAGCAGGCATGATGCAGGCTCTGACAAGACTCCAGGTTGGAGTCCAAGTGTCACAACATACTGCTGTGTGGCCTTGGCTACATGACAGTCTAAAACCAGGACATGAATCTCTGGCATGCAGCCTGGGGGTGGGGTGCTTAGATTGGGTGAAAGGGTGAATGCGGTGCTTAGAGAGGGAGCCCTACGCACTGGCAAGTGAAGCCAAACCCAGGACATGGCTGAACTTATGCCCAGGACAGGAGAAGGCACTGGCACAGGTGGGCAGACAGAGGCGACAAGAAGGCACGACCCAGGCACACCTGGGCCCAGGTGGCCTGCAGCACCTTTCTTGCTCTCTGAACCTCAGTCCCTGCATCTATAAAGAGGTCTGAGAAGGCTCCATGGGACCTTTGAGGGGTTGGCCCCACTGAACAAGTGGCACCCAGGACTGTTGCTGGGCTGCCCTGCCTCCTCCCTAGGGCTCACCGCACGGCCAGGTAGCCACGGACACACATCTCCATGAACCACTTGAAGGGCGTGGCCTCCATCTTGCCTCCCATGATCATCACCATCTCGTCTGTCAGCTTGATGTCCGGTTCCCAGCCAAGGTTGCCACCCGGTGAGCTTTCAAACATGAAGCCAAAGTCTGCAAAACCCCAAAAAGCCATTTGGGACGGGATCAGATGCCAGGGCAGAGATGTGGGGTGCTTTAACCAGGGCTTGGAGCCACCAGCTCTGCACACCCGAGGAGCTGGCCACAGGCTCTGTTTTCTTAGGGACGCCAGGAGAGCAGCAGGCAGAGGAGAGGAGAGAGAGGAGTTGGGGAGCCAGGGCAGAGCAGAGACAGGCCGGGGCTGCGGCTGAACGGGCTTGGCTCTCGTTTCTGACCCCAGAGCTCCGAGTCCCATGGCTGCGGCTGCTCCTCTTGCCTCCCGCACCTGCCTGGTGGCCAACAGCTCAGGCCTCAAAACTGGACTTGAACCTGGACCCTGACCCTTCCTGGCTGGGGGCCCCACCACTCCTCCTCCTCTGCAGGATGCCCTGGGCTCCCGGGGTGAAGGGGGAGGAGAAGGGCGGCGCTGGGCTGGGCCGCTGACCGATGTGGATGATATGGCCCTTCTTGTCCAGCATGATGTTGCCGTTGTGTCTGTCCTTGATCTGCAGCAGGAACAGCAGAAGGCTGTAGGCGGCCATGCTGCGGATGAAGTTGTAGCGCGCCTGTGTGGAGACAGTCAGTTGCTTACGATGGCCCTGAGGGCTGCACCTCCTAGGACTCTGGGTGCCCTCCTGGCTCGGTGCCTGGGCCCCTGGTGCAGGGGCAGTAATCCCTTCCCCCCATACCCATGAATTAGCATTCTCCTGGGGAGTCCATCTTGAGGTTCCTTTGAATCCCAAGGAAGGTTATGGGGTGCCCTGGTTTTACCTCCAAATGTAGGACTCAGAAAATCAGGAAGGGACAGGCAGGGTGCTGTGGGGTGGGATGGGGAACACAAACAAGCCCGGTCTGGGGGCCCCTACTGGTCACCTGCTGGAAGGCCAGGGTGGACTCATCCCCATACTGGCGCGTGAAGTAGTCGTACATGCCGAAGTCCGTCTGGCGGCCCAGCTGGTCCCGAGAGGTGCAGTCGGGGATGCACTCGATCACCCCACACTAGGAAGAAGGCCGAGTGCCAAGCCTGAGGCTGACCGCTGTGGGCCGAGGCCTGAGGGGCAGCCGCCTGGGCTCCTGCAGGGAACTTACCCCGGGGGCTGTGGCCACCACGCGGTAGGGGAAGACAAAGAGGTCTAGGCCGACTAGCTGGAAGATGTTTTTGAAGAGGTCGATGATCTGCAAGGCCAGCATGTCCTGGGAACCGAGGAGATGCGGGGTGGGCAGCTGGCCTCCTCCTGTTCATACAACCCCTAGGCAGCCTGCCCAGGGAGGGAAGCCGAGGCGAGAAGGAGTCTGGAGGGCCTGGCCTCACTGCCCACTGGACTGAGCTCAGGCCCCTGGGAACACCAGGCGCTGGAGTGAGCATGAAGCTGTGTTGCCTGGTGGGGGCATGAGAGTAAGGGGCACCCACCCCCCCAGGCTTCTTCTGGGTGGCTAGTGGGTGCACGGCATGAGGGGGCCCTGGAGAGGCCACAGGGTTTGGCAGAAAGACCCAATTTCCTCTGTGGCACCTGAACCCAATGGGGGAAGCGAAGATTCGTGTTTGTGTGTGTGGGGTTCGACCACGAGGCTCACCCAGAGCCCTGAAGAGGCAGGCCCACCTCCACCAGCCTGACCGTGGCCGGGCCCCCTACCTGTCGGCAGTCATCTCCCACTTTGAAGATGGCTGCCTGCCAGGAAATCTTCTGGCCTTCGGCCTCCTGTGCACCACACTGGTCCTCAGAGTCCGAGCGGCATCGCAGACCTGCGTGTAGTGGATGGAGGCTGCCTATTAGCCCAAGGGCAGTGAGAGGCCCTCTGAGGGTGTTGGGGTGAACCTGGAAGAGGCCCAGGAACCTTGGGAATTGTTACTGTGAAGCCCTGAGGAGGCCAACAAGGGCTCAGCAAATGCCTGGGGTCAGTGGGTGGAGTCAGAGTGCCCAGGGGCTTTTCCTAAGAACACTTAGACTTAAATGGAACTAAAGATAAAGCCCCCTTTTCATTGCAAGTGAGGATCCAGGTGTGCCCAGGGTCGGTGATGGGTATTGTGAGCTGAAGGCAGAAAGTGTGTCCGTCTGCACCCTGGGGTGCCTGGAAGGACTCGGAAGCCAAGGTACAGATTAAGGCCATGGAAACCATGTCACCGCACCCGGGGCCACACCCCTATACTCGGTTGACTCGCAAACCCCCCAAATTCATGCCTACCTGAAACTGCAGAATGTGACATTATTTGGAAATAGGGCCTTTGCACATGTAGTCAAGTTAAAGAGACTACAATGGATTAGGATGGGCCCATTATTAGAGGGGGGAATTTGGACACAGCACACAGGGAGGAGGCCAGGTGAGGACACAGGCAGTGGTTGGAGCAATGCAGCTACATGTCAAGGAATGCCAATGACTGCGAGCAACCGCCAGAAACCAGAGAGGCCAGGAAGGATCCCTCCCTAGAGCCTTTGCAGGGAGCATGGCCCTGCCAACACACTGATGTTGCACTTCTGGTGTTTAGAACTATGAAAGAATCAATTTCTGTTGTTGAAGCCACCTAGTCTGTGGGTCATTTCCACTGTAGCCTGAGCAAATGAGTACCCCCGCCCCCCCCCCACCCCCAAAGCCCTGGCCACTATGTTTCGAGAAGATACCTCCTGGACTGACTTGGTAGCCAACCTTCAGGGATTTCTGTCACTGCACACAAGCTCTGTGCTGTCCCCAAATGAGGGGTCACATTGAGAGTGGATGGATGGCCATCAACCCTCATGGGGAGCTGGTAACAAACTAAAACGCCACAAGAAACTGGCCTCAGCAAGGGGAGACACTTAGATCCCAAATTACATCGGAAATTCTCCACTGACCTTCTTTTTCAAGTTCACTAACTCCACATCGTTTCACCTTAAATTTTGCCAGATACGGAGCTTTTGCAGCACTGAAAAACAACAGAAAGAATGTGGCACAAGTGATACAGCAAACAGGAAGCCCGCATAGGAGTGGCCAAGGGAAGGGTGACCTCTCACCTCTGCATGGGTGTCCCCGACTTGTAGTCGATGTCCAGCACGATGGCCTCAGGGTTGCTGGGCAAGTAGCAGCCTGTGCAGGGACAGAGGGCAAGTCACAGGGAGCCCAAGTATGATGATGGCAAAGACACAACCCATCTTCAACACTGAATCTCCTTGCTGAGTCCACCCTGCAGACAGGGCGGCGTACGGGGACCTCTAGGTCCTCCTCTATGGCCCTGATGACTTCTTATTCCGTGGCCATGAAGGGTCCGTCCTCCCTGGTTCTGTGATCTCTCCCTGGATCCTTCCTGATATCTAACAAAGAAGCCACCACCTCCCAGGAGACACTTCTCCAAGAGGACACACTGAGCCCTCAGCTTACATACCAAGCATGCTGCGCCTAGGGACCCCATGGCCGTCCAGTGCTGGCACAGGGCTGCCCATTCTCATAGGACATAGGCAGGAGCTTCCTGCCCTGCTCTGCTCACCTGTACACACTCTGTTCTTGGATTCAGCCCACTGCATGTAGCTCCCCACTCTCAGCACACGTGTTAAGTAGGAGGACAAGACAAAGGCCATTCTTGGACAAGGAAGTGGCAATTTCCCTGGGGACTGGGCTCCCTGAGCCCCTGGGGAGATGGGAGAGTTCCAGAGCCTGGGCGGGAGAGTTCCAGAGCCTGGGCTTCAAGGAGGGGCCCTGAATTAGTAATGACTGGGTCTCCTGGGGAGCAAAGTAAGGCCTTGCTGTGGGCTGCAGTTGAGCTGTCCTACCAGGGGAAGGAGGGACAAAGCAGGACCACATAGTCTCCTCCCCTCCCTCTCACCCTCCTTTACCCGCCAGCCCCAGTCTCTCTCACATGCAATCCCTACTCCTCTGCTCTAAGAGCCCTGGCTGGCTCCCCAGTGCCTCCAGGACAAGCCCTGGCAGCATGGTCTGTGGGGAGCTGGAGGTTTGCTGATGAATATTGAAATGGAGGACCCGCGTGGATGGCAAGCCTTCTCTGAGAAGCTGAGCCCTTGTCCGTGCTGGGCAGGTTGGGGAGCTCAATAGAGTAAGTCAAAGAAAGGGCCCAAATGCATATGGGGCCAGCCCCACCGCTGGTCTCCACGCCCGCTCCCACTCCCTGCCTGACCAAAGGAAGAGGCTTGTTTCCTTCGCCTCCTGAGGCCACCTGCTCACCAGGCTGCACTTTCACTTCAGACAGAGCCGACAGACAAGCCTTCTTTCTCTCGTCTCCTTTAGGGTAGGGCCTGAGAAACAAGACAGAAATGCTGTATCTCCTACAGGAGCTGGTCTCTGGGATTTCTGGGGGACAGCCCAGGGCCCCTGCCTGTCTGACTGCCCCTCAATTTGTCTCTTCCGAGCTCTATCGACTCCTGGAGGCCCTGCCAGGCCAAATTCCCTTATGAGCATGGCAATTCCTGCCCCGTATTCCTCATCGAGAGTGGAATCAATGAAATGATAGATGTACAAAGGAGCCTGGTTTTCCTAATACCACTTACCAGGCTCCTTCAGAACGCGCAGAGAGCAGAGTGGCCTCAAACTCTGGGACAATATCCAGAATGCAACTATGTTTTCTGACGTTCGCATGGCCATGCTTTTGCTATCCTTTCAAGAGAGCGGAGATTCCCACCCCCGGGCTGTTCATTAGCACTGCCCAGGCAAATCCCATGAGCTGGGACTGGAGGCATGCTACTTACTTGATGATGGCTGATACGTTGGTGATCTTGTTAAAGAAATCAAATTCCCGCTGATAGAAGTCCTTGGCCGGGCCTGACAAGGAGCCTGTGATCTCCTCCACTAACTCCTCCAGGAGGTCACCAATGTCGGCTGACAGAGAAACCCAGAAGGTGAGCCTGTGGCTGAGCCACAGCAAGGCTCTAGAGCAGTGGGTCTCAACCTTCCTAATGACGTGACCCTTTAATACAGTTCATGTTGTGGTGACCCCCAACCATAAAATTATTTCGTTGCTACTCTATAACTGTAATTTTGCTGTTATGAATTGTAATGTAAATATCTGATATGCAGGATGTATTTTCATTGTTACAAATGGAACATAATTAAAGCATAGTGATTAATTACAAAAACAATATGTAATTATATATTGTGAAATATTTATTTCTAATTACAAATAAATGAAATTTTGTCTTGAAGCATGGAGACGGATAGAGAAGCGATGTCTCGGTTCCTAAGACCATCGAAAATATGTGTTTTCTGATGGTCTTAGGCGACCCCTGTAAAAGGGTACTTCGACCCCCAAAGGGGTCGTGACCCACAGGTTGAGAACCGCTGCTCTAGAGGAATGGTGCCATGTTTGCCGGTCATGCAGTCCGGGTACTCCCCAGCACCCAGACCAGCTGTCCTCAGAGTGTAGTCTGCAGACATCGGGAATCCCTGGGGCCCTCTCAGTGGACCCCACGGTCAAATACACCAAAAGGTTGTTGTTTGCCTTCCTCAGCATGTTGACGTTTGTGGGCTGTGCGCAAGCAGTGGGGCCAAGGGTGCTAATGGTCACTGGGGACTCATGGCCATGCTCTCATGGGTCTGCTCTGTTAGTTATTATGGACAGCGAAAGCCCACATAAACCAAAGCTCTTTGAGGGTCGCAGTAGTTTTTAAGGGTGTGAGGATGATTAAGACATCTCTGAGAACGGCACTGGGTTAAGCAGAGGGGCCACAACTTGGGAGAAGGCGCTCAGCTGGAGCAGGTGGGTCTCACATGTTCCTGGGGAGCTGCAGGATGGGGCCAGCAGGGGCATGGGGTAGGCAGGGCATCTGCAGGGTGGGCTAGAAAAGGCTTTGTGACAGGGGCTATTGCTCCCACTATGTGTTAAAGATGAAGTGTTTCCACCAAACGATGGGAAGCAGAGGGAACTACAGCCTGGGGCAGCACAGGTTATGGAGGGTCCTGAAGGCCCAGGAAGGGTCTGGGCAGATGCAGAAGGTGTTCAAGATGGGGTGGGTAAGATTTGAGGGAAGATGAAAAATACTCACGGTCTTTCTGGTGCCCCTCTTCATCTAGATAGATATTTGTTTTCATATTCCAGATAAACTGGTGTGCCAGAAGCTGGGATTTGGATGCTGCCCACAGAATATACTCCCGCACATAGCCCATCTGTAGAACAGCAAGGTCACCATCAGCCCAAGCTGGGAGCCCCTCTTTCCCAAGATAGACTCTTTCTAACCCAGAGCAGGAGCTGACATCCAATGCTTGAAGACCTGGTGAGCAGTGAGGCCTAGTGGTTTCCGGCTACATGAGCAAGCTCTTCTGGGTCTGTGCTGCGTCCAGCCTAGGAGCCAGGCCAAGTGCTGGCTAGCTGCCCAATGGGGTGGATGGGGGCCCCGGTGGTGGGGTCTGCAATACGGCACAAGTCAGCTTTTGTTTCCTCCGTTCCTTTCCTTCCCCTGAATTCTAAGAATCACAACTTTCTCACCCATTTCTGCTGTTGTCAAGTACAAGGAATGAGTATGTATGTTTGCTATATAATTATGTATAGAGTGACATAGTTCCAAAGTCAAAATTTACTAAGCACAGTCACTTCCATCCTGTTTGTTCCCTCTCTGGCCATTTTTATTAGTTTTGGTTTCTTCTTCTTTTTTTAAAAAAATATAAAAAGTATAAGCAAATACATATATACATTTGTATCCCCTCAAGCTTGATTTAACAAAGAAATGCCTAAAAATGGAAAGCAAGAAGAAAGACCAATGAAGCTAGCTGAGTCCTGAGTTGGTTTAACCACCCAGAGAAAAATCATTGGATGTGACTTTAAAATAAGAGTAATCTGACTGTATGTCCCTAATGGAAAATACACCAAGGACAAAAGGAAAAAAATCTGATCCAGCTTTCAATAATCATATTGTGAGTAATAATAATGGTATTGTTATTTTGAAACTATTAAATACATAGTAGGATAAAGCAAAGTAGTATGTTAATGTTGTTAGGAACCAATATGTTTAGTGTTAAAAGATTCAAATACAAAATCAAATAAAGTAAAAAAACTCTGTAATCCTACATTTTAATTGGAAATATCAGTATAATCTCATGATGTTGTTTTTCTTTTTTTTATAAAAGCTCTATCTACTGGAAAGGCCCAGAAACAAAGACAATCCAATGGCCGTGAGCATGCTCGGCATTAGATGACAGTGTCACAATTTTATTTCTCATAAAGTGAACCCGAGGACCTTGGGAAATTGGTGATTCCAGGTCTGAGGCAGGGAAAGAATAAGAAGAGCCTAGAATATCTTATCATTCTGAAAAGCAAAGAGGCTTTCAAAGACTAAATAAAGATCAAAGACTAGTAGTAGACCATCAGGAGTTCCCAGTCGTCAAAAAGATGGGCCTCAAAAATAACTGTAGTGGGGGATGAGAGAGAAGGTGAGCGGGTTAGAAAGCACAAATTGGTAACCACAAGATTGCCACGGGGATACAGAAGACAGTTTGGGGAATATAACCAGCAATGTTGTAAAGATTTGGTAGGGTATCCGGTGGACACTTGTCTTAATAGGGAGTCCACTTCATGGATGGTGTAGATGCCTGACCACTGCGCTGTACACCTGAAGCTGAAGCTGAATAATAATATATGTCAACTATAATTTAATATATATAGTCACAGGATGTGGAGTACAGCATAGAGAATAGAATCGATGGAACTGTAACAGCTATATACAATGTCAGAAGAATAGTAGATTGGGGGGGTGGTTATTACTTTGTGAGGAGTGTAAATGTCTAACTATTACATTGTTTTGTACACCTGGAACTAATATAAAAATAACTGTAGTGGACTGGTGCACATCAAACATGTCAAAATCAATGTATTTATGATATTTGGGAGAAAAAAAGAATACCTCATTGGTTATTTTTGAATAATTCTAAAAAATTAACTCATTATTGAGAAATAGAAAAAAGGAATAAAGAAAAAAATCAGGAATTTTTGAAAAGCAGCTTATGTAAAGTAATAGCTAATAAAACAAACCGAAGCCCACCCTCATCTCCACATGCCAGCCACTACACGCTATCCACAGCCCACTTGTCCTCCCCTGCCAAGCATGCTAAGCACACCGTCCACCCAGGGGGCGCTGTGTTCTCTGGTGACCACCACCCAGCGTTCAGGTGGAAACCCTTGGTGCCCACTCTTGCCCCCTCCTCCTCTGGAGTAGGCCTTTCTGTTCAGCCCATATGGAAGCAAACACACTGGAGGAGAGAGAGGGGAAAGGGAGGCACTACCTGGAGAAAAGGTGCATCAGAAGAGTACCCAGTGCTGGGTCCAGTGTAAAGGCCCTGGCTTAGTGAATGTGGCCCGACAGGGTGTCAGAATCACCTGCTCAGAGCTGGAAGGCTTTTGGCAGCTACCTAGCTAGGGCAAGACCCAGTCTATCAAGAGAAGTTGGCTGTGATTCTAGAAGCACTGTTGTCTATGGACTGAGATGAAGCATCTTGCCAATCCATGGGGAAGAAGCCAGCCCTGGGACACCCGGGCACAGCGTTAACAGCTGCTATGGAGACTGGAGTGGCAGGAGGCAGCCCATAGGTGGGCTGGCACCACAGGGCTCAGCCAGGATCAAGTGGGGAATGAGGCTGGCACAGGGCAGTGGGGGGCAGAGGCAGGCGCTGCTGCTGCACTCAGACATGAGCGTGACAGGTGGCGCTGCCCTCAGGCACGGAAACATGTGCTCTGGGTTGTGGTCATCCTGACGGGTGTTTTCTGCACCAGGTCCTATGCTAGGCACCTTATGTACGTGTACACTATTACGGGCTGGACTGTATCCCCCCAAACTCATATTTTGAAGTCCTACCCTCCCAGTGCCTCACAATGTGACTATATTTGGAAATGGGCCTTTAAAGATGTGATTAAATTAAAATGAGGCCATTAGGGTGGGCCCTAGTCTAATCTGACTGGTGTCCTTATGAGAAGAGACACACAGAGGGATGAGCACGTGGGGACACAGGGAGAAGACAGCCTTCTACAAGGCAAGGAGAGAGGCCTCAGAAGAAACAACCCTGCTGACACCTCAATCTCAGACTTTCAGCCTCCAGAACTGTGAGAAAATACATTTCTGTTGTTTCAGACCACCCCTCCTCCCCTCCGGCTGTGGTGCTTTGCTATGGCAGCCCTTGCAAACTAATACATACATCATCTCATCTAATCCTTCTTACCACTTCCCACTAAAGAGAACAGGGAGCTGGAATCAGGAAGTTAGGGGACTTGTCAAGACCCCCATCCAATGAGTGGTCAGGCTGCCCAACTTGAGCAAGTGGCTGGGAATACTTCCAGAATCTGCTTACTCTGCAGAGCGAGACTGGGCCTCAGTGTGAGTTGGGGTGAGCAGGGGCTTCCTGGCTATGGGCACCGGTGACAACCATGGCAGGGGTGTGTGTGAGAGGAGTTTGGGGACCGTGGTCACAGGCTGGTGGTCCTGATCCTGAGGCTCAGCACAGCCTGCGATCCCCAGGTCAGGCTGGAGACATGCCTGCTTACCAGACTGGGCATGAGGGCAGGGCAGCACGAGTCCTTGTCAAGGGCCCCCGTCCCAGTGCCCACACAGCTCTGAGTGAAGAGAGGGACAACATGTATAGGTACAGCCTTACCTTGTCATACCTGAGGGCCTGCACAATCTGGGGGATATAGAACAGGATGGCATCCTGCAAAGAAGGAGGAGAAGTGACCATGACCCCAGAGAGGACAATTCCTTACCCCTAGGAAAGGTGAACACCTCAACATGGATGGATGCCCCAGGTTTCCATCCCTGCCCTCCCCCCAACCTGGAACTGGCCATGCTGTCACTATCCTCGTTGCAGACCATGGCAAAACTAAGAACCTGGGAGAGCCCAGAAGACAGTGAGGGAAATGGCCAAATGATTGGTGAGAAAAAGCAAAAGGAACAAAACGCAAAAGGCTCCCATGCCTACAAGGAGAGAGGGAAGGGTCCATCTGTATTTACTACTGGGGGCCTGCTTGGGGACAAGGACTGAGGTGAGGTTACAGCAGACCTGTGGGTTGGAGCCACAGTAATTCAGACTCTGGAACATTCTATTGAACTTGTCACTGTGCCTGTCACGTGGGGTTGCTAGGTGATGAGCCTGCATGGCCACGACTGGCGCCAAACTCAAGTCAACTTCCTTTTTTAATTAAGTTTTAAAAAGAAATACAACTAGTAAACACATCTGAATTAGAACTCAATCTATCTTCTTTGACTCTCTGAACAGAAATGGGGAATGAAGACATGTGCTAAGATGGGCCAACGTTTAATTGGTCCTCTATCCAGGTTTGAGATAAAACCTATTTTTCATCTCTCCATCTAAACAGTGCTGGGTAGTCCCCTTGAGACCAGCTCCAGCAGAACGGGACTTACCGGTGGGAAGGACCGCAGGACCTTCACCCCGTACTGTGCCGTGAGAGGATGGGGCGGGTACATGCTAGAGAAGTAGGAGAGGCCCGTGGGTGGGTCGGCGGGTGCCCAGCACAGCACGTGGCTGAGCTCGGGCGCGTCGGCGTCGATGGTGTGCCAGGTGACTAGGAACTAGGAAGGAAAGCATGGAGATGGTCTGTCTCAGGCCGTCCCCACGGCCTCTCTGGAAATACCTGGCCCCATCCCACATCACATGGATGACCCCCAGAAGTGACGGTTGTAAAGCATTTAAAACAACATGGGAAGAGGCTTCTAACAATTATGTAAAACAGTGTAATTTCAACTAGGGTGAAACACATTCAACGTTTTTCTGTTGTAAACAATAAATGCTTCATATAAGGGGTAGAAAACACAGGAAATTAGAAAAATCATTATACCACTGAGGTCACCAGGTTTTTGTCACATTTCTAGTTTCCAGGCATTTCTGGAGTCCGTTCTATTTTTGTGCATTTTGAACCTAGGCCTCAGCATGCACTACGCTACCTTGATAGCTTCCGGGATGTCACTAACGGCTCCAGGGTCCAACCGAACCAGTCGGGTCACTTCATTGCCAATGGCTTCTGTGTTCTTAAACCTACAGCCACAGAGAGGGTATGAGTGGGGCGGCCTCACTGGCAGAGGGGGAGCTGGAGGGATGCAGATCAATGCCAAGTGATACCTAAACACACTACACTACTGACACATGGGTAACTCTGAACACAGGTGCTTATGATACACAGCATTATGATCGGCTATGACAAAAGGCCGGAACTACTACATCTTGAATAGGAATTATCCTACTTCACCATTCAAAGGACGCCTTCCTTTACAGTCCTTGCCTTCAGAACACCCCCTTGCCCTGGCCCCTAAAGTGGCCCATCCATGGAGTGGCAGCTCGGGGGCCAGAAGGCACCTTAGCAGGTAGAAGGGCAGGTGTAAGATTTAAAGTGTTGCCTCCCAGACTAACACAAGGTAGACTTTCCACAAACACTGTCAGGCTGAGCCGGAGGACTGACTGAATTAGAACCAGAAGGAGGAAGCTGTCAGCAGGCAACTGTGGGCTGCTGGGCAAGAAAGGTTCACTCCTGCACACATTCACACGGGGTGAATGTGATCCCTCTGGTGGGACTCAACACAAGGGCCTGAGAAGTCCTTCTCGGCCACTCGATCGATCTCAGAGTTCTGCCCCTGTAAGAGCTTCCATGGGAGAGTTTAAGTACACTCAGCTGCTGGCTGTCTCCTCCGAGTAGCCTGCCACTGAAAGACGACTTCCAGAAACAAACCCAAACACTCCCCAGGCCGCCTCCCTGGAGTGGCAGCCTCCACATACTTTCTTTCCTCCTCGAATGAGACTGGGGTCCTGAATGTGCTGATGTGACCTCCTTGAGCTCCAAGATGCTGGGGCACCTCAGGCAGGAGTCTGTGCTGTGTGACTACAGCACAAAAACTCTGGGTGAACGTCCAGGGCAGAGGACCAGCCTGCTAAGATCACTTTCCTGACTGTCCCTGACAGTCACACACAGGCCACCTTACACTGAACCTCTGGCAAGGCCCCCGGCAGGCAGGTGTGACCTGGGCCCACCTGGCTGGCAGCTGCACGGCCAGGTAAGGAGAGATGCTCCAGGCGAGGTTCACATTATCTTTCCACTGCTTCTCACTCAGAGTGATGTACTTGGATCTCCAGTTGGCCACGCTGTTCTCCCCAGTCTGGTCCAGCTCCAGCTCTGGGGCTGACAGTGGGTTGTACCAGGTGATGAGACGCTCAATCTCAGTGGCCTGACGAGATGAGACAGATGCTGATGCGCCTTCTGCATGCACCCACGTGCCCTCCCCGGTGCTGTGGGTGCATGACAGGCAGCGGGCAAGTGGCGGGCGATGCCTTACCAGGAGGGACAGCAGCAGTGTTCTGCGCTTCATGTAGTACTTGTGCAGCTGGGAGCCCCGGTTGGTTTTCTTGGACATGCCTGGGGAGGAAAGAGCAGCCACACATGTTCCTTGGAGGTCACTGGCTTGCCCTTCGATTTGAGAACCCAGGGAAAGCTGTGTTTCAGCACTGTGTCCACCGTCTGAGCCTCAAGAGGTGACTCACACCTTAGGGACCTGTCAGTGAACCTTCAACCGACCTGACTTCTTGGAGATGGTTGACATGCCGCTGGACAGGGGGTATGTGTTTATCCAGCCTTGCGTGGCCTGTTGGCGAGAGCCGACTGCTATGTCCAGATTGCTCCGGGTGTCTTGGTTATCTGTGGGCAAACACATTGTTGCTTCTAGAATGAGGTAGCTGGATTTTCACCAGCGATAAAGCAATCAGTGGAGGGACAGAAGGGGGAGACACGGCCGATGATGACTTTGCGGAACTAACCCAGACATGTGAGAAGTTCTTTCTTCTAGATGGGAAGCTTACTAAAATTTATTATAGTCCTCCTGGCTTTAAAATAGAATAAAACAAATATGGTAATCATCTTGATAAATGACTGCAGTTATCTGATCTCCAGGATTCTATTCCTTTAATACAGTAGTAATTTGAGGACCCATGGGGGCAGATGATACGGGCTGTTTCTAAGGGCCCTATTCTAAGTGGAGCCAGGAAGCTGACTTAGGAAATCACTGTGCCTGCTTTTTCATTTTTCGTTCCTTTTCCCGGCAGTCAGGTTATCAGGTGGAGGCTTGGCTGCAGAAACCTGGCTCCTCATCTCTCATTTGTAGTGTGTAATCAGCTCCATGCTTAGAGGAACAAGAATATGGTTTCCTTTGGAGGTTTGCTACTTGACCCCTCTTCAGCCCTTTTCCTTACCCTCCGTCCATCCTGGCTAGCTCCTATTCATCCTTAGAGACTCAGCTCAAATGTCACCTCTTCCAGAAAACTATCCCTGGCTCCCCAACTCCAGTGGGCCAAGTGCCCGTCCTCAAGGGGTGTGCCCACGATCCCTCCCTGTTTAAATTGCCTGTTGATTTGATTGTCTCCTACCAATACAGCCTGATAGATGTGCAGTGGGTGCTTGTGAACTGAGCCGGCACCGGAAGAAGTTACACTGAGAGGCACCTGCTCAGAGCCTCATGTGCTCACTTGTGCCCCTCAGCTGGGGCTGGAGAGGTGGGGGTCAGGCAGGCATTGGGCCTCTGTTGACTGTGCAGCATGGCCAAGATCAAGGCCAGGGCACAGCTGGGCCTTAACTGCTCTTCTGAGCCGGCTCCTTCAGCACTAACCACTGCACACTGCTGCCCGCACCACTCCCCCATTCCATGCCTTGGCCCCACCACTGTGAGCACCTGCATTGCTCAGAACAACCGTTACCTGGGGGAACAAGCTGGCTGGCGGTCAGGTACTTCTTATCTGAGAACATGGCAGTCCAAAATTTAATCATTATGCTTATGTCTTCACGCAGCCTCTTTTCTCCTTGAGTAGGGAACTTCGGGGGACAACTTCAAACAACCACAAGAGAACAAGAGTTGAGTGCCTAGAGTCAGGGACTAGAAGGCAGCATATTATAAAGCAGTGAGGGCGACACCAGTGGTCTCTTAGTGATAAGAGGTTAGCCCAGAGCTCATCATCAGCAACAACTATCTCATTAACCCATATGGTAAAGTGATGATTTTAGAGCCCTCTCATGACCACCCCCACCACTAATCTCAGCAACGTCTCCAGAGCTTGGCTGAATGGCATGCTTGTGGCAGATGGTGCAACTGCAGCTTTCTCCATACAACACGACCACCTACACTGGCAAAGTCCCAAGAGGCATGTATTTGCAATTCTTCATGCAATAACCATTCACATTAATTGGAAAGCTAAATGGAGGCACTTAATCTCTTAACTCAATTGAACTGAATTTGTCATTCATCTCATAGGGAGGCTAGCTAAGTACACACACGGAAATACAGCACAAGACTGAGGACATTCAAATCCAGGGGCATCAGGGTTGCTGAATGAAGTTGGTGGCATAAACCAGGCAAACCGTTTCCTCCTGTGGGTGACTTCTGGGGGTCTGGGACAACCAGGGATGCTGTCTGGTGCTGGGCTGCCACTGGATGCCATGCACGGCACAGCGTGGGGAGTACCTGAAGTAGTCAAAGGCGGTCGAGTAGATCTTCTCACGGAGCACGTTGCGGATGGTTGCGTTAGGAACCACGTCAGCGTGTAGGAGGGACAGCCCCAGGGTCAGCAGTCTACGAGAAAGCTGAGGACGAGTCAGAGGCACTCGGCCTGGAACAAACCTGTGAGGGATCCCTGTCTCCCCTGCAAACCACTGGGCTCTTGGGCACATCTTCAGATGACAGAGTTCTGGAGTGCCAGGACTGCAGCATCAGCAGGTGATTACCGTTCACAAGTTTATTGTACCCGAAATGCCTCAGGAAAGGTTTCATTAAACCTTCACTTTTGTTGAGGAAAAATGAACAATGTATCTGCCTCCGCCGGATGCTTCAGTATAAAAACTACCTGCAAACTACTCCCTGAGGGATGCAGACACCTACAGGTGCTATGAAGGTAGAACAATGAATTCAAGTTAAAAAAAGAAATTTACCAAGCACCTGGTTTTTACTAGGTCAGTGTTGGTCTGTGACGAAGTAAGTACGGGAAGAGAGAGGGAGCACCTATTCATTTCTACAGCAATTTCACATTGCTATGACGGTCCAGTGTGGGTCTTCTAGTAATTCATTCTCACTGCATTTTATAAAGGTATAGGTCTGTGACTGATTAAAAATTAGGAAAAAAGAGAACTAGGCTTCCCCACAGTGGTTTGAGAAGCACGGTCCTGGCCTGGGGGTGGGGGTGCCCAGTGGGTTGCAGGAACATGGGTCTAGAGTTAGGGGAGGGGCAGACTGAGCTGGTGTCACCGGTGGGTAGTAGGAAGGGGTACAGGCAGAAGTGGTATACCCCAGTGGGTGGTTCCACATTCTCCCTCCATCTGACCACTCGGGCACCTGCAGGCCCAGCTCAGAATCCTCCCCATGTCAAGCTGGCCCCTCCTGCTGTGTCCAGAGCACTGGGCTTGAGGCACACACATCCCAAAGGGGATTATGTGCCCTCCCCTTGTGTGTCTGGTGCTTTGCACACAACTTTGCGTGCAGTCAGCATGATCAGAAGTTTTCTGTGGACATCTCGGAGGGGTCAAGTGACCTGCCTAAAGTTACTGCTGGCCCCCAGCCTGAGCTTGTCACACCACCTACTGTTTTTCACTCACCACTATGTCACCAGGATGGTGACACCATTTTGCTGCCAATTTTTAAATTGCTCCCCCAACCAATTTAAAAATGCTGCCCAACATTTGGGTGCCCCAGGTCCATGAACTAGCTTCCTGGACACTCCTCTGCTGTGGACAGCACGATGCCCGACTTCCCCAGCTCTGAAGGGCGTGGTGGGCGAGGTCATTTGTGTCCAGATCCCCCTCACAGGAGCCCTGCACATACTGGGGGCTTGGTCAGTTTCTGATGAATAAATGACTAACCATGGGAAAACCCCGTGGACAGGGCC